AGTATTTTTTATTTTAATATTCATAAAATACAAAAATAATTAGTACATTTTCAAACATAAGTATAAGTAATTTGTATAAAAATAATCAGTTCAATTTAATTTTCGTCATCAATAGGAGTGATTAAGTCCTCGGAAATCGTGTTTTGTTTCAAATTTTTTAAATAACTGTGGTATATTGGGGGTATATAATTAAGCAAGTTTATCATGTCTTTGTATTTTGCTGAAGAAACAGGACGAGATCCAGCGTATAACGTATCCACTTCTATTTGTGAATAACGCCTAGGTCTTCCTCTTTTTGGTGACAAATCCAAAGTTAGAAACTCATCTTTTTCATCTAACGTTAGTTTATAAAACATTTTATAGCCATCTGCTGGCGGGTCTGGAGGTAGCCGCCGCATCACTATGATATAATTTACAAAACTGCACTATTCTTTCGCACTTATAAAAATAAGTCCAGTGATCACAACTTTTTTAAACATACTGAAGATAATTCAAAACAATACTTCACACACACACTTATCACATGTTTCTATTTCTTTTACACTAAACCCCGCAATTAATTTCCTGAGTACAACGATTTATGCCACTTTCAAAATAAACATGTTTTTTATATCGTTAATTAGCAAAACTTCTCTCGAACAAATCTCAATAGTTCTGAACTAATTGATTGCAAATTTGTTTAAAATGAAAAGATACCGTTCAATTGTAATTAGTGTTACCATTAACTCGATTTTTTTTGAAACAGTTACTTATGCCACTTTCAAAATAAACGGCTCAAACAATGATCCATTAGCATAGCAATCTTTGAAAATTTGTTTCCAATATCGCTGAATTGTGAGATCTCGCCGTCAACGATCGTTTCAATCGAATTCTTCGATTTTCCAGGTGAATCTTCGCAAACTGCGAAACCGATCGCCGACCAATGGAAACCCTCCAGCACCCCGGCGAACACTCAAGACATCAGGTACACTTGGAACTCCGGAATTAGCAGAGTTCCATACATTAATCTCTATCACGATAACGTTAATCATACTTCTACCGTTCCCGAGGTAAGTGTCGACAGGTCGACGGAACAGTTAATTCGTCGATCGCCGAGAAACCGATTCATACCGCTTAGCGCCGAGGAATCGAAAGTTCGATCGAACAATTCTCTCTCAGCCGTTGCGAAAAGCTCCGAGAAACCGGTTAGATCTAACCAGCGACCGTCGAAGATATTCGGGAACGAGGATCGAAACGATTCACCGAGACTGAGACACTTTTTTCGGCGGACAAAGGGCCCGTCCGTTTTGCGCAATTTCACTTCGAAGTCCGGTCACGAGCTCGGCCAGGTTCGATCCTTGGGTCCGAAGGTTTCGAAGCGTTTCGACGGTTCCGCAGGGGACGGCGGGTCGCCGAGAAGGACGGAAATCGTTCTTAACAATTCACCGAAAGCTCCGACCTCGGCCCGCGATCCGGGATTCCCGGATCGAGCGGCGGAGATCGCGCTCGCGAACCGCGCCGAGGTCGAGCCGGCGATCGAGTTCGATCACGTTGCGGCCATCAGGAAGATCACCGACTCGTTGACTCAGCAGAACGCCGGGAAACCGTCCTCGAAAGCCGGCGATCGCGTGGTTTCGGCTGTCCAATCTGCTGCGAGCCCGGCGCCGCCTCCTCGGGCCTCGATTCGTCGCTCGAAGCCCCCGAACTCGAAGAACAGAATCAAGGTCCGTCCACATTCGAGTCAGAGCAAAAAAGGTGCGAGCAAGCACGGCTCGAAGGTTCGCAACAAGAGCAACGCTTCCAGGCCTTTGCATTGGAAGAACTGGCCGAACGGGGCTATCCAAACCGCGAGCGACTATCAGAATTACGAGAAGTATACCTCGCTCGTGGAGGACCTGAAGCCCGAGGAGACGGTGAAGCAGCCGGTCTCTCAGCTGGCTAGCAATCACCTTGTGCCGGTCGCGAGCCCCGATCTCCAAGAGATCGTTCACTGGTTGAAAATCCCGGCCTTCGTGACCAACGGTAGCCACATTCTGGAGAGTAACGAGGCGAACGGCCCAGTCAGCGTGGTCTTCGACCCGGTCTATCAGAACCTGCAGCCGAACGAACCGTCGAGGCCGAGCACCGTTCAGAGCTTCGGACCTAACCCGGTCTACACTCTCGCTCCTCGGCCGGTTTACACGACCGAGAGGCCTTCTGGTTGGTTAGGGAACGCGTCCCTCAGAAACAAAACCCAGAGCAGTTCTCAAAGCCAGGTCAGTCAGGTGAACGTTCTTCATATTTCGAACAGCGACTCGCGGAAGCCTAACAAAACGGTAGTTGCGACCAGAAGACCTGGGAGCAACGGTCGACCCGGGTCGCTGGCATCTCCAGCGATCGAACCTTATTCTTCGTCGGTCGGCCCGACGCAGTTAGCTCCTTCCCCCACCGCGAAACCAGGCCCCAACGTTCACATAGGTTTCACTTCGCACGAAGAGGAGACCAAAGTACCCAACCAACAAGCGGAGCTCCAACCTCCGTTGGTCACCTACGATCAAAGATGCCCGACGATTCTCATAAATTCCTACACCCGTATCAATAACACCGTTCAGAGCAAGGACGGCTGCACCGACCTGAACATCATCATAAATTCCCACGTGTTCAACTCGAACACGTACAAGCCTACGCCGCCGCCTCTGGATCAGGTCGACGAGAATCTTGAGTCAATCGACAAGTACGACTCTGGTTTACCCGTTTACCAGGCCGATTCTCAGGAGAGCCACGGTCCCCTGAAAGACCCGGTGACCTCTGTGTCCGAAGGTACCGACGGTTCCAACCTGCAGGTCTACCAAGGCACGCACATTAGCATCCTAGGCTCTGGCCCAGCCAGCGAAGCGACCCCGGTCGAGCCTCCAGAACAGACGAACGAGTTGTCGAACGATAATCCAGACATTTCCGTCGCTTCCCCAGATGTCGAAGCAGCTGGCGAGTCGAGCGACGACCCTGGCGTACAGTCTGTAGCTCAGCCGGAAGGCGAGGCGCTGAACAGTCAGAGCTCCGGCTCTTCTTCGGCTGCGCCTACGAGCTTGACCGCCACATCCTCTCCGGCGCCCAGCCAATCCGACGATGACGACGACGACGACGACCTAGACTTGTCCCCTACCGGTATTATGGAGTCTATAGCGTCCGTGTTCGCTTATTTCACGTACGTGAACCCTCTGCACTACGGGTTCTTCAGCATTGCCGCCGCCCCGTTCACCGCTCTAGCGGCTGGAATCCTTGGCATGGTCACTTTCGCGTTCCCCTGGTTGTTCCCCAGCTCTTTCGGCTTCCGTCGGTCTAACAACGACGCTGTCGAATTTTGGCGCAACGTCGAGGACGTGATTGGCCAGTCCATGGAGAAGTATGGCAGGCTGAACGAGTGGAAGAGCAGGAAGAAGAAGAGAAAGAGATGAAGGGTTCGCTGGGGATAGTTAGGTTTTTACTCGACGGAGGTCTCGAGGGATTCTCCGAAGCTAGGAGGATTGCTTAGAGTGTATAGTTGTTAGGTCAGCTTAGTGTAGGGGTAAAGATGTCGGACGATGATGCACGTTAGGAGACGCGTCGCAGCGATAGGTCGACAGCTCTGCGTCGGTGTCGCCGGTGATCAGGGCTTTCGTTTCTCTTTCTGCAGGCCGTGTCGTTGTCCTAGCTTTTGTGCTTCCTTCGAATTTAACGAGTCGGCTGATAAAATTGATCCAGGAAACGTGGGAGAGCGTTCCGCGGGCTTCGAGCGCTGTTTTTAACCTTTTAGGCACGACGCGCCACTATAGTGGTTTGCTCTAGTAGCTCACTCGCTCATCGTTTGAATCAAATAATCGTCTTCGTATGCGTTGTTTCACTCTTCTTTTGTCTTCGCATCGATTTACAACAGTCTACCAGGGTGTCCCAAAAATGTCTCGCAATCCGGAAATGGCGGGTTCCTCGGATCATTCGAAGCAACTTCTTCCGTTACAAAAATGTTCTCCGAGGCACCGTTGACGAGTTATTAACGAAAAACAGCGACCAATAAGAATCGAGTACGGCTGACGCGAGGCGGCCCAGCCAACCAGCGCGCGGAGCCCAGTTCCGCTCATTGGCTCGATCGCCTCGCGCCAGCCGAGCTCGCCTCTCATTGGTCACTATTTTTCGTTAATAACTCGTTAACGGTGCCTCGGAGAAAATTTTTGTAAAGGAAAAAGTTGCCTCAAATGGCCCGAGGAACCCGCCACTTTCGGATTGCGAGACATTTTTGGGACACCCTGT